CAATCTGTAAAAGAACAGAAAAAACGAGATAATATCAAAAAATCGAAAATCAGATTTTTTTTGAATAAAAAACTTATTGTCGCAGATCTGTCTAAAATGGAACCAGTGTAGAATAGAAAAATAACCTAATAATAGATTTTTAAAATTTTTCCTCATAGAAAAACTTACTGTCCCAGAACTGTCCAAAATGGAACCAGTTTATAACTAGTTCGAAAGTTCTGCGGAGGGGAGCAATTTACACTTCGTAGGGCATCGCCATGTAAAAAGAGACAGTTGAAAGCATTGCGTTGGGATAGATCGAGAACCAGTTCCGCCTCTTAAAGAGCTAGTTCTGCGCTAGTCCTGAACTAGCGCGATTTACTGCAGGGAAGTTCCAGTACTGCAGCATGAATACTTTCAGAGCTATGCAGTATAAAACTTCGATTTATATGGGAGGTACCACGCCCCCCTTTCTAAAAGCTGCCCTTTTTCTTCATGAGTATGCGATTGATTTCGTATATCTCCATACCAAGTTCCATAACTCTACCATGAACACTTCCAAAGATATGCAGTATGAAAAATTCGGTTTGTATGGAAGATGCCACGCCCCCTTTTCCAACAGTTCCAATTTTTCTCCAAGAGTATGCGATTGATTTCGTATATATCCATACCAAGTTCCAGAACTCTACCATGAACATTTCCAGAGATACGTAGTATGAAAAATTTGGTTTGTATGCGAGATGCCACACCCCTTTTTACAATAGCTTAAATTTTTCTCCAAGGGTATGCGATTGATTTCGTATATCTCCATACCAAGTTCCAGAACTCTACCATGCACACTTTCAAAGATATGTAGCATGAGAAATTCGGTTGGTATGGGAGGTGCCACGCCCCCTTTACATATTGATTTTTTTTTTAGCCTAAAACCATCCTTGGGACACGTGCGGCAGATGGCAGTTTCAAAAAAATCGGTTCAGCCGCTCTCGAGCCTAGCGAAAACTAAAAAACAGCTTTCAAAATATATATTAGTTGAGATATATTATATATTATAATTATATTTTGACCGTATCCGTTGTTTCTGATGGGCGCAAAAATATCTTGCCTAGTGACGAATTCGCCCCTTGATATGGTGGTTGCCCAACGTTATTTATATTCGAAATTGCATGAAAACTGGAAAACAGGAATCTATAAGCTTATCCAGGCCAAAAGCTACCTAAGTGCCGAATTTTAAGCAAATCGGACCATAAATTCGATTTCTTCGAATAGATCGGTCCCTGGTCCACTTCTTGGAAAACATGGATCATATATTCAAATATATGTTAAAAAAACTACCTACGTACCGAATTTTAAGCAAGTCGGACCGTAAATACGATTTTTTCGAATAGATCGGTCCCTGGTCCAGTTCTCAGAAAAAATGGATCATGTATGCTAATATGTGGTAAAAAGCTACCTACGTACCGAATTTTAAGCAAATCGGACCGTAAATACGATTTTTTCGAATAGATCGGTCCCTGGTCCACTTCTACGGATTTTAGAAATATATCGACTGCAGCGCCACCTGTCCACATTAGTTTTGTTCTATAACACTCCCAGTGATTATATGCACCTACC